AGTTTCTGATCAACCTGGCTTTCCATGAAGAATGAACACCATACCAGCAGACAGTTACACAGCTCACAAAAACAGTGGAGTCAGGAAATTTACATGAAATGACAGCTTGGTATGTTACTGCATACAATTATATAAAAGTCTGTATTCATTCATGCATATACATTCATTCAACAAACATTCACTGAGCCATCTGCTACCGATATGTGTCACTGCTGTAGAATAGTTCACTATGTAAGGCTGGGTGTGGTGGCTCATGCCTATAATCCTAGCACTCTGGGAGGCCAAGGCAGGTGGATTGCTTAAGTTCACTAGTGTGAGACCTTGTCTCTACTAAAAATAGAAAAAAAAAATTAGCCAGGCGTCATGGTGTGTGCCTGTAGTCCTAGCTACTCAGGAGAATGAGGCAAGAGGATCCCTTGAACCCAGGAAACTGAGGTTACTGTGAGTTATGATGACACCACAGCACTCTATCTAGGGCAAGTGAAACTCTGTCTCAAAAAAAAAAAAAATGCTCACTATATAAAGACCAATGATAAGTTAGCATGTAATTAGATAACTTACAACATAATCTGTAAGGTGACACAATATAACACATAATATAAAGACAAAAATTCCTCTGACCTACTCATTCTGAGATATAAATCGTATAGTACCTTGCAAACTAAAGTGTGGTCCATGAACTGGCAGAATTGTCATCACCTAGGAACTAGTCAGCAATATAGAATCTCAACTCCCAATCAAAATCTACTGACTCAGAATCTGCATTTAAATAAGCTCCCAGGTAATTCCAACGCACATTTAAATATTGAGAACCACTCATCTAGACCATAACTAAAAACCAGAAAGTAATTAAAAACAGTATCAGAGAGCCCATATACTTTTAAGATCTTAAAACTCCATCCTGAGCCTTTTAAGAATGTATACACAATTTTAACAAGTTCAATTACTTAGTTTCACAGAGTTGGAACAAATTAAGAGATATCACTGATGACAAAGAAAACAGGAAAAACTTATAAAAAGCAATCTCAAAAAGAGATGGCTGTGTGGAGTCATTTAACACAACAACAATCTACACTATCTACCTTGAGCTTCTAAAGATCTCACCAATTACATTAGCACAAAAGTAGTTCATGTTCTTAAACACAACTCCTGTTACCAGACCATAAATTCCTTGAGGACAAGGACCTAGTTTTTTTTTGTTTTGTTTTGTTTTAAATTGCAGATCAATTTATGAGGGTACAAACAATTAGGTTACAATGTTTGCATTGTTAGGTAGAGTTCCACACCAAGGAGGTGTGCCAAATACCCTCACATTCTGCCCAATCTTATATAATACATCTGTAAACCCCAAGATCCCAAGTCATTAAGATGAGTCTGGGTTAAGCAATGAGATACACGTACGTGATATATTTTATAAAAATTTGTATCTGACAAAGTTAAAATAAAAACGTGACAGTTAAAACATTACTTTAAAAAAAAAAGCGTCCCCATTCTGTAAAATCCCACTCACCAAGCAATCTAAGAGCAGAACCTATGGTTCCCAATCCCAAGGTTTCTATTCAAACTCAATTCTGGGGGACTGGTGAGGAGAGTAAGGAAAGAAAAGGCAGAAAGATTAGGAGAGGATAGGGAAAGAACAGAAATCACAGAAATCTCAGCATTATTTCCTCCATTCATTAAAATAAAACAAGCAAAAATGGGAAGACACAGCAACCTTACAATAGAACAAATGCTATCTCTCACTATCTCTCTAGCAACCATTTACTCCACATCCCTTGCCTGTGAACCAGACACATGCTCACAATCCTCCTAACCTAAGAACTCCCCAAAGACACTTTAACTCTAGAAACATTCCCTCAATCAGTTGATTACGTCCCATTTAGGATATACCAACCCACCCTTCCAACACAGTAAACTTCAGGCTATAACCTGGTCAGGAACAGTGGTTTACACCTGTAATTTCATCACTTTGGCAGGCCAAGAAGGGAAAATCACTTGAAGCCAGGAGTTTGAGACTTCTGTCTGGATGGTTATAACTAGTTAAAAGTCACTTTCTGAAAAATGTTGGAATGTCTATGTCAATAACTTTTAAAAGGCCCTTTTAGCTGTTTAAAACCTTTTTTAATGTTTTCCATGCCTATTTTCTACAACTTTTCTTCAGTCAGGCAGTTCTAGTTATTGCTCCCCAAACAAATTACTTTTCTTGCCTATGTCCCTACTTATGCTCTTTTTTTTTTTTTTTTTTGCAGTTTTTGGCCAGGGCCGGGTTTGAACCCACCACCTTCGACATATGGGGCTGGCGCCCTACTCCTTTGAGCCACAAGGGTTGCCCAACCTATTTATGCTCTTACTGCAATCAGAGCCCTTCCCCAACTTTTAATCTGACTCTGCACTATCCAATGTTATCCACTAGCCATGTGTGGATATTTAACATTTGAAATGTGGCTTGGCCAAATTGAGATGTATGGCATATGTAAAATGCACACTGGATAAGACTTGGTACCAAAAAAACATAAAATTAATCTTTTTTTAACAATGATTACTTGTTGAAATATGTTGGATATATGGACTAACTAGATTATTAAAACCAATTTTCAATTTCTTTCTAGTCTTTAATGTGGCTACTAGAAAATTTTAAGTTTAAATATTATACTTCTATTGGACAGTGCTGGTTCTAATACTACCCATTCTTCAAGGCCTAAATCAAATATCACTGCTTCCATGAAGCTTTCCCCAAACGACTCCAAGTGAAGTGGCTTCTTTTTCCCTAACTCCCCTAACACTTTTAATCACACTCGCAAGGAATAAGATTACTTTTACCTAGTTACTGATTGCACCTGTCATAGCCAACTCCAAAACAAGCAAACTGAGGAAAGAAACTACACCTAAGTCACAATAGTCCTCCTACGCCTTGGCGAGTACATGCATTCCAAATAGCTGCCAAATGAAGAGTCGAATTTCTCAATTACTGTAATATCTATCCCTTTCAACGATTTCCATTTTCCCCTCAAGGACTAAAGCTGGTATCTACGAATGTCCTGTGTTACTTTTAGGTAAACAAAGCGGCAGTGAGCTGTACATATACGAAGAACAAGCAAATCCAAAACTAGTATGTGTACATGTCGTCAATACATTAAATGAATTATGAAAATCATTGTGAAATCATTTTTTCTTAATGTTTATCCCTGATTATAGTTGTGAAGATCAACTATTTCAAAAGTAGCTTTTCCCAAAGATTTAAACCGACTAGTTTCCAAAAAAAATTGAAGTTCCTCCCCAAACACGGAGTACAAAATCAGATAAGCATGCAAAAGCTTGAGAACAGCAACATCCAAGTCCCACACTGCATCCGAAGCTGTGAGAAAAGTGATTAGCAAGGAAAAAGACGACTGTGTGAAACAGACAGGTAGTGAAAATTGTTGGAACGCGAAACCAGATGAACAGCAAGTACATAAAATTTCTCAACTATGTGGAAGAGATCCTCCCTGGACGTATCTCTCAACCTCTGAACCCTCAGGCAAAGGTCGCAGTGATAATTACAAAAGGACTTTTCTTCAAACCATATTTTATTACTCCAGAGCTGCATCCATGAAACTTCGTCTGAACCTGCCCACTCCGGAACTTCGGTCAAACTCAGCGCCGAAGCCACCCTCTCCAGCACCTCTTGGAGAATAGTGGACGAAGCGAGAGGCCAGGACCGAGGCCCAGCACCTGGACGACACCCTACTCCTTTGGAGTACCGCCTCAGCCCCTTGGGCAGGACCGGGTAGGCAGAGGGGACCCGGCACGCAGAGGGGGCGGGGCAGGGCGCCGGACTTCGCCGAGAACGGGTCTTCCCGTTCCATACCGGGGCCGGACGGTGCCTCAGAGACCCGCAGAATGGTGAGAAAGAAGAACGAAGGGCCAGTGGGAATTAGCCCCAGCTTCCACTCACCACCCGTCGCCGCTCGACGTTGGCGGCAGCAGAACCTCTTCTCCTTCCGCCATTGCTGTTGACGTCCACGTCACTTTGCCGAAAAGTGGACCTGGCGCTAAGACCGACTCTGAGACCCAATGTCGTAAAAAGTCTCCGAAGTCCAGGACTGAGCTTCTCCAAAGGGAAAGAAAAAGGGAAATGGCAAGGGACCGGAGGCGGCAACGTCACGACGTCCCGAGGGCGAAAAGCAGCGTGGGGCTCTTGGGGAGGAGACTTGGTAGAGCAGCTGCGCCCCTGAAGACTACATGTCCCAAGATGCCGCGGGGCCCCGGGTCGGGCGGGGTGGGCGGAGCCTGTGGAAGTGTGTCTCTAGCGTCGCCTCCTGACACAGCTAGACGCCTTCTAGTTGGCGTCTTCGGTCCAACTTGGCGTCGGGTTTAGCAAGGGTAGAATCTAGAGTCCTAGCTGGTAGAGAGAGGAGGGGAGTGGGAAGCAACACAAGTAGGAGTAGGAGAGCCACATTTCGGTAATTTCTTACTATAAATAATACGATTTGAAGAAAGTGGGATGTAACCATCACTGTGGGGCCTGCTCAAAAGTACAAATGTAGGTACACGTAATTAGTACCTGAACATTTAAAAATTGTAAGTCAAAGTAAATTGTAAAGGAAATGTATTCCAGCTCCTACTTTAAATACATCTTCTTAACAGTCTGAAAGTCCAAATTTAGAATTCTAGAAAGGGAACTTGAAGGCTGGGCGCCTGTGGCTCAAGTGGCTAAGGCGCCAGCCACATACACTTAAGGTGGCGGGTTCCCATCCAGCCCTGGCCGCCAAACAACAATGATGGCTGCAACCAAAAAATAGCCGGGCATTGTGGTGTTATGCCCGAATTTCGGGGATCCCCCACAAATCACTCTGAGACCAAGTCCAATGCAAACAGCAAGAAGCAGTTTATTGCAAGCTCAAGCTTGGGCTCTCTGACCCTGACGCAGCAGGAAAACAGAGAAGCCTCGACTCTAAGATAGAGGGAGATTTTAAGGGTACAGAAAGGAAGAAGGGAGGGGTAGGGGGCTGAGGGTAAGCTGATTGGTCTAGGGGTGGGTTCCTATCGCTCCAGACAGTACCTGTCCTTGGTCTAGGAGCTGCTATAGCTCTGGGCAGATGTTGTGCAAAGGTCACGGGGCAGGCATAGGGGGAGAAAGTTGGGTTATTCAATACCTCTGGTATGTAGCTTCAAGAAAGACAAGCAGGCTGTAAAATGGAGTTTTAACAAAATAGAGTTAGTTTGGCCCTTACAGTGGCAGGTGCCTGTGGTCCCAGCTACTTGGGAGGCTGAGGCAGGAGACTCGCTTGAGTCCAGGAGTTGGAGGTTGCTGTGAGCTGTGATCCAGAGCACTCTACCCAGAGGGACAGCTTGAGGCTCTGTCTCAAAAAAAAAAAAAAAAAAGAAAGAAAGAAAGAAAGAAAGGGAACTTGAACAGGAAGAGCTGCCAAGATCCTCCTCCCACTCTGCTTCCCCTTCACTTCACACAAATGGACACCTCGACCTCCACGTGCAAACTTGTCCACACCACCAAAACAACTGGCCCCTTGCCTGCTGTTGACCATTTCCAGGGCCTTGAGTGCAGGCACATGCTGGGGAGGATATACCTAAGGAAATGCTTTTGCAAGCCTTGAAAACAACTGTGATGAAGTAAAACCACCTGTAACTGTATGGATAAATCTAAAAAATGATGTTGAGTGAGCAAACAGATTCCAAGCAGATTGGTAAAGTAGGGTCATTTATATTTGGTGTTAAAAAGATAAGAATATATCAATATCTTAAGAAAAGATGCCTGTGTGCTAAAAAATGCAGGGAGGACAAGGAGTGGTGGCTCAAGTCTGTAGTCTTAGCACTCTGGGAGGCTGAGGCAGGAGGATTACTGAGTTCAGAACTGTTACAGACCAGCCTGAGCAAGAGACCCATATCTACTACTAAAAACAGACAAATTAGCCAGCCTTAGTTGTGTGCCTGTAGTCCCAACTACGGGAGGCTGAGAGAGAATCGTTTGAGTCCAGGAGTTTGAGGTTGCAGTTACCTATGATAATAATTCTGCACTCTACTCTGGTGACAGTGCAAGACTCTCAAAAAAAAAAAGTGCAGGGGAATAATATATAGAAAAATAGGAATGGCAGTTACATTTGGAGAAGGGGAAGAAATAGTTTCAATTAAATTTTTAAGATTTTATTTAAGAGCCAAGAGGTAGCTATATGGTTGTCAAGTATTCTTTATAGAGTCTACACCTTGGTATCTAAAATGTTTCATAGTTTTAAAATTATTTGAAAGAAAAACACAAAATATATTATAGCTATCTCATTTACAACCAGAATCATGTTCAATCTTTTCCCAAAAAGGAGATAATACAAAGCTTCATCTTACTGCATCCACTTCTAAGCTCAGAATCCCTGTGTGATGTTGAATCCTTCATTGGTGAAAATTTCTTTTAACATCAAATTGGGCTTTAGATGCTCTCTATCAAAAAGAATAAAAGGCATGAATCTAGGTCAAATTATCATCCTAATATTCAAGACCTCCCCTGGGTCCCTTCAATTGTTGCCAGTAGGTTTTCAGAAACTTTTAAAAAATGGTTTTAAAAACTATTCTGTCATTTATCTGACAAGCAGTTGTTCATGGTTAAAGTGATTCTAATCCTCAGTTTTAAGTCGTTTTGAGTATGATTAAACTAGTGACTGCTTTATAGTCTCTGGTAAAAACATTATTTCATTAAAAATATATCTCCTTAGCTTGGTGTTGTGGCAGGTGCCTGTAGTCCAATCTATTTGGGAGGCTGAGGCAAGAGAATCGCTTAAGCCCAAGAGTTTGAGGTTGCTGTGAGCTGTGATGCCACCACACTCTACCGAGGGTAAAATAGTTTGACTTGTCTCAGAAAAAAAAAAAAAAGAAATGAAATAGTATGGTTTGAAACTTTTTTGGTCTGGGTTTTGTCACACAGCATAGTTATTTTATGATTTGTTTATTTGTGTGATGATGGACATTTAGGTTTTTATTAATATTTCTAGGATATTACAAATAAAGGTGTCATGAACAAAAAGAAATAAATCTTTTGACATTTTTTTTTTTTTTTGAGACAGAGCCTCAAGCTGTCCCCCTGGGTAGAGTGCCGTGGCATTACAGCTCACAGCAACCTCCAACTCCTGTGCTCAAGCGAGTCTCCTGCCTCCGCCTCCCAAGTAGCTGGGACCACAGGCGCCTGCCACAACGCCCGGCTTTTTTTTGGTTGCAGCCGTCATTGTTGTTTGGCGGGTCTGGGCTGGGGATTCGAACCTGCCACCTTAGGTGTACGTGGCTGGCGCCTTAGCCGGTTGAGCTATAGGTGCCGAGCCATCTTTTGACATTTTTAAGCAGTTCTTCATTATGTAAAAGCAAAGTTGAAACTTCTGACTTCCATTCTCTTTAATAGGGACAGAGCCAAGTTCATGAGTGTACAGTCCATGCAATAGCATAAGACCCTCTGCTTGGAAGAACCCTGTGCTTGGTTTACTGCTCTCCTGTTGCATCTTGAAATTCTTACTAAATTTGGAACCCCTACTTTTCATTTTGCACTAGGCTTCACAAATGAGGTAGCCAGTCCTAGATAGGGTCAGTATCATATTGATGGGGACCCACCACAGACAAGATTTCAATTAAAATTGTTTACTCATGATATTGTCTGAGGTATTTGTATCATTATTTCTTTACTTATCAACCTGTTGTAAGTTCAACTAACTATTCACTCTATCATCATATACCATGATCATGATGACATCCTTTCTCCCGATGATAGATCTAGGAATGTAGCTGAGAAGTCAAGTAATACTTGATACTTGGTATACATGTATCTTTGAGTCCTCTCTCTTGAACAGGTTCTGTTGGTTCACTCTCTACAGTGTTTGCTTGAGTTTGGGTCATTAATCTCCATGCTGCAAGGGCAGGTGCAGTAGCTCACGCCTGTAATCCCAGCACTCTGGGAGGCCAAGGGAAGTGGATTGCTTGAGCTCACGAGTTCAAAACTAACCTGAGCAAAATGCGGGACCTCCATCTCTACTAAAAATAGTAACTGAGGCAAGAGGATCACTTGAGCCCAAAGGTTGGAGGTTGCTGTGAGCTATATGACACCACAGGACTCTACCCTAGGTGAGCACTTGAGACTCTGTCTCAAAAAAAAAAAAAAAAATCCATGCTGCCACTGAGTTACTGCAGAGCTCAGTAGTAGGTAAATCTTTTACCTGAAAGCCTTTTTCTCCTCTTTCTTTTGAGGAAGGGTTATCCACACCTTCCCTCACTTTGCCTTGTTTTCTGAAAGTACAGAAACCACATTGGACTGTTGGTATCTAGGTACTGAGCTTAGTACGGATCTTCCTGGTTGTTTAGGGTTTGCTTTGTGTCTGGTTTGTCCACATTTTCCCCTAACATGCCTTACTTCCTAAGATGACAAGTCTGATGTTCTGAAAATGTTCTACCTATAGAACATTTTCTAGCTGGCTGCAGATTTTCATGGGTGTAACTTTCTGAGTATTTTGGTACTTTCAAAAAAATCTCAAGGTCCTGCCATTTACTTGGACTGTTGTGTACTTAAAACAAATATATTAACATGGGATTGCAAGTAAAATTTGTTAAGTTCTAGTAATAGATCTCTGCTTAAAACAAAACAAAAACCCGTTACCAAGAGTTAGAGATTTCATTATGAAATTTTCTGCTTGTATTTTCTTACATTATTCTTCTTTCCTAACTGTAAGAAGATTTCATTGATAATACCGGGTGCTCTCTCTGTTTTTGTATTTTCTATATTCCTCTGGAACAAAGGGAGTTAGAATCTCTTCTTTTCATAGACCTAGTGCTGTGCTAAGGGAATGCTAACAGTGGAGATTACTGGATCTGTGTATAATGAATCCATTCCAGGATGTGTCCCCAAGAAAGTAACATCAAATCACCACCTCATCCACAGGGGATATGTCCCCTGTCTGTATTATCCATCTAATAGTTGTTCTCACATCCAAATGGAAAAATGTGGTATTATCTCACATTATCCTTGTATAAAATTAAACTGTATCTTTATAGAGGAAAAATTCAAGTGTCTTTTGAATGAAATTGTACCAGACATAATAAAAATATTTTTCATCTATTAATTGGTATTCTGTGCCATGTAATTACCTAAATTATATTGTATCAATGCAT